TTGTGTTTATTAAGCTAATTTTTTATGATAAATTAATGTAAAAAATAAAAATACAATAATCACTTTATATTATTAAAGGCAAAAGGTTGAGACTAATTAATTAAGTATTAATTAAAAACTATGGCCAAAAATTAAAAAATTAAAAAAAATAATTTTTTAATAAAATTAAAAAATTCTTATTCCCTAGCAGTTTAGTATAACAAATTACTTAAGCTAGCTTTTTTAATTCGCTAGCAATTTAGACCGTAATTGTTATTTGCTAGTCTCAAATTGTTAAATAAAAATTTTTATCAAACATCTTGTAACAATTTTGAAATATACAAATTTACCAAACATTTATCCTTAACAATTTAGGTAAAATCACTAATTATTACCCTAAAACTACCATACCAAATGAGCCTTAAATCACTTTGATTTTGAGTAAGGGTGCGTTTGGAATTATGTGAGATGTTATGATTATAGTTGTGATCATATAAAATTGTATTATGTTGTAGTTGTAGTTGTAGTTGTAGTTGAAAATTATTTTGATATTTGGTTATTTATTTCTTAAAAATACTGTATATAACATATGATAAATTTTATTAATTATTAATTAAAATTTTAAAAATATTATATAATATATAATTAATAAAATAGAAAATATTTACTACATAATAATTTAAGTTTTTTATGTTTCATATGCTAAGTGTTTTTTTTTTTGGATTTTGTAAAGGAGCAACTCAAAAGATGGAAATAAGTTTTTAATTTTTTATGGAATCTTTAAATAAATGAAAGCTTAGATTTAAATAAAATATTATAAATTATGATATAACTGAATTAAATAAAGTTGAGTTTTATTAAGTAATTTTATAATTATATTAAATATTAAATATTATATTGTCAATAAAATCATAACAAAAAAAAAATTCAAAACATGACTTTTAACTTTATATATAAAGTTGTTATGAGCTTATTATAACTTTTAAAACAATAATTTAAAAAAATTGCTTAATATATATATTTAAAAATATTATATTATTAAAAAAACCTCAATCCCACTGCCAAACAGAGTTGAAGTGGTAGATTAGATTTTATAATTAGTTTCCTTTTTCTGCTGATTCCGCCGCAATTTGTGAATTTTTTTCTTTAAGGTATTATGCTTGACTTGACTTGAGTGGGGAACCAAAATTTCCAATGAGAACTGTAGAGATTTTGTCATAATCATTATACTAATAACGAATGCAAACACATTTTTCATTATTCAAACACTGTTTAAGTGCGGGCTATCAAACTTTGAATTATCATTTCTCTTAACTAAATTACAATAACCCAATAAATTACCATTGGAGAAGTGTTCTACGATATGTCTTGCTAAATCCCCACCTAAAAAATAGTATATTTAATTATTATTTTTAAAAATTAATGATTGAATTGAATGTTATATTTAGGTAGATTATTAATGTTAATTTTTATATTGAAATTTTTTAATTTGTATTCTATTAATAATTATTATACTTTTTTATCATTAACTTATATTAAAAAAATGGAGTTAAATTCTATCAATTTCCAATTAAATTATTTTACATGGCATTAGTATTAAGAATAAAATCTACTTTTGTAATTTTCTTTACAAATTAATTGTAAAATGTGCAATAAATATACTATTAACCTGTGCTCACAAGTGAGAAAGATCATTCTATATTAATCTAATATACATAAGTAAATCAATAATTATACAAAATTTCTAAATATATATTGGAAAATAAAATTTATTTTATCAAATGACTATAAATATCAAAAAATACTATAGTTATAATATCACATAGCTATGTAAATTTATTACCATAACATATTATTAAATAAATAAATATAATATCATGAGTGAACCTATGAGTTAAAAGAGTAAATCATATAATGACACGTTATGATTATTAAACTTATATGTGATATTGTAATTATAATATTGTTATTAATCAAAGTTACATTGCTACCAACGATTGTAAATTTACAATCAAAATGTCATTAAATGAACATATTCATCCAATATTATGAAAAAGCTATTGAATAAAAGTAATTAATCATATAATCTCATGTGATATGATATAATTCACCTATATCATTTTTGATAAACATTAGATCAATTTAAAATTTTACATATATATTC